GTTGCCATTTCTCAGATTGAAGAAGTTCCCTTTGGTTCCTAGTTTGCTGAGAATTTTTTAATTTTACTATTTAAAAAAATCATGAATGGGTTTTGCTTGTTGACAGATGCTTTCTCTGTGTCTAATGAGGTGATCTCCTTTCCCTGTTCTGTTAATGTCATGTACCGCAATGATTGTTTCTTTGTGTTGAACCAACCTTGCATTCCTGGGGTAAATCCCACTTGGTCATCATGTATTATCCTTATTATATATTCCCAGAAGCACTGCTGGTATTTTCCTGAGGGATTTTTATATCTATGTTAATGAGTGATTTTGATCTGTAATGGTGTCTTTATTCTCTTCTCTGGCCTTAAAAAATGGGCTAGGAACTATTTTCTCCTCCTCTATCTTAGGAAAGATTTCATACAAGATTGTTGTGCTTTCTTCCTGAAATGCTTGATAGAATTTGCCAGTAAAGGCATCTGTTTTCTATTTCATGGATTTTCATTTATTTCCTTTTATCAATTTTTTCATATGGATTTATTTATCATTTTAATTTTTCTAACAGCTATGTTGAAATAAAAATGAGATACACAAGCCACATGTGTATATATGTCAAAACACTTTAAATACATGTAGTCCACATACACCTATGTAATTGGCACTGTAATCGAGGTGGTGAACATTTCCGTCACCTCCCCATTTCCTTCCTTTCCCTTCACAATGCTTTTCTTCTCCTTCTGTCTTCGAACCCCAGGGAACCCCTGATCTGCTTTCTGTTACTGGAGATTAGTTTGTGTTTTCTGGAGTTTTCTATAAATGAAATCATGTGTATACGCTGTTTTTTCCTGGCTTTTCCCAGCATAGTTGCTTTGAGGGTCATCCATGCTGCTGCACGTTAGCAATAGTTTCATCCTATTGCTGAGTGGTGTACCATGGAGGATAATTGGTTTATCCATTCACTGTTGATGGCCATGTGGGCTGTTTGCAATTTGGGCAATTATACATGAAGCTGCAGTGAACATTTGTGTGCAAGTCTGTGTGTGGGTGTGTGCCTTCATTTTTCCTAGGCAAATACCCCGCAGTTCGATAACAGGGCTGTAGAGGCAGCATGTGTTTAACTTTTTAAGAAATTTTCAGACAGTGAGTATAGCACTCTGTGTTCCCACAGCAGTGTACGAGCATCCAGGGGCTCCACACCCTAATCAACACTTGGTGTGGTCAGTTTTGGAAATTTTAGATGTTTTTTTATTTAAAATTTTTTTTTATTGATGTTTTAGTAAGTTTTTAACATTGTGAAATTTTGGGTTGTACATTTTTGTTTGTCCATCACCATATATATGTCTCCCTTCACCCCTTGTGCCCACCCCCCACCCCCATTGCCCCTGGTAACCACAATTCAGTTTTCTCTGTCCATGTGTTGGTTTATATTCCACATATGAGTGAGATCATACAGTGTTTGTCTTTCTCCTTCTGGCTTACTTCACTTAACATAATACCCTCCAGGCCCATCCATGTTGTTGCAAATGGGATGATTTTGTCTTTTTTTATGGCGGAGTAGTATTCCATTGTATATATATACCACATTTTCTTAATCCAGTCGTCAATCAAGGGACACTTAGGTTGCTTCCACTTCTTGGCTATGGTGAATAATGCTGCAGTGAACATAGGGGTGCATAAGTCTCTTTGGATTCTTGATTTCAGGTTCGTTGGATAGATTCCCAGTAGTGGGATGGCTGGATCATAGGGCATCTCTATTTTTAATTCTTTGAGGAATCTCCATACCGTTTTCCATAGAGGCTGCACCAGTTTGCATTCCCACCAGCTGTGTATGAGGGTTCCTGTTTCTCCACATCCTCTCTAACACTTGTTGGTTTGTGTCTTGGTGATTATAGCCATTCTAATGGGCGTGAGGTGATATCTTAGTGTTGTTCTGATTTGCATTTCCCTGGTGATTAGTGATGTTGAACATCTTTTCATGTGCCTATTGGCCATCTGTATATCTTCTTTGGAGAAGTATCTGTTCATTTCCTCTGCCCATTTTTTGATCGGGTTGTTTGTTTTTTTGTTGTTCAGTTGTGTGAGTTCTTTATATATTATGGAGATCAACCCCTTGTCAGATGTATGTTTTGCAAATATTCTCTCCCAGCTGGTGGGTTGTCTGTTCATCTTGATTCTGGTTTTGTTTGTCTTGTAGAAGCTCTTTAATCTGATAAAGTCCCACTTGTTTATTTTTTCTTTAGTTTCCCTAGTCTGGGTAGGCATGTCATCCGAAAAGATTCCTTTATGACCAATGTCAAATAGTGTGTTACCTATATTTTCTTCTATGAGTTTTATGGTTTCAGGTCTCACCTTCAGGTCTTTGATCCATTTTGAGTTAATTTTTGTGAATGGCAATAACAGATGGTCCACTTTCATTCTTTTGCATGTGGCTGTCCAGTTTTCCCAACACCATTTATTGAAGAGACTTTCCTTTCTCCATTGTATGTTCTTAGCCCCTTTGTCGAAAATTAGCTGTCCGTATATGTGTGGTTTTATTTCTGGGCTTTCAGTTCTGTTCCATTGATCTGTGTGTCTGTTTTTGTACCAGTACCATGCTGTTTTGATTACTCTTGCTTTGTAGTATGTTTTGAAGTCAGGGATTGTGATGCCTCCTGCTTTGTTCTTTTTTCTTAGGATTGCTTTAGCTATTCAGGGTCTTTTGTTGCCCCACATGAATTTTAGTATTCTTTTTTCTATGGAAATTTTACATGTTTTGGTAAATGCATGTTAGCATACTTGTGTTTTAAATTTGCCTTTCCCTAATGGATAATGATGCTGAACATCTTCTCATGTGCTTACTTGCCACCTGTAGATCCTTGGTGACGTGTCTTTTCATATATTTTGCCTATTAAAAATCTTGTTGTTGTTGAATTTTGGATTTTCTTTATGTTTTCTAGACAGAAGTCCTTTATCAGGTATGTGGTTTGCAAAGTCCAGTTAGTGGCTTTTCTTTTCATCTGCTCAACAGTGTCTTTCAAAAACCAGAAGTTCTTTACTCTGATGAAGCCCATTTACCATTTTTTTCATTTATGGATGATACTTATGTTCTTATGTCTAAGAACTTGCTGCCTAACCCAGGGTATGTCAAAATACAGTTGATTTTTGTATGTTGCTTACATCGCACAACCTTCCTGAACTCATTTATTAGTTATGGGAGCTTTTTTTGGGTCAGTTTCACAACATTGTTACCTTCCTTCTCAATCTGGATGCCCTTTATTTCTTTCTCTTGCCTGACTGCACTGGCTGGGCCTTCCAGTACGACCCTGAATCGCAGTGGTAGAGCCGTCCTTGCCTTGTCCCTGATCTCGGGGGAGAGCACTCAGCCTTCCACCAGTGAGCGTGATGTTAGCTGTGGGTCTTTCATAGATGCTCTTTATGAGGTTGAGCACGTTTCCTTCTAGTCCTAGTTTGCTGAGAGTTTTTAATTTCACAATATAATTTTCCACTGTAGGAAGCTAGAAAAAGCTAAGCAAATTAAACCTAAAAACAATAGAATTACACTGATTTTCAAATGTTAAACCAACTCTACTTAGTTACGATGTATTATCCTTTTTTATATATTGGTGGGTTTGATTTGCTAACATTTTGTTTTATTTAGAATTAAGAATTTGTTGAGAATTCTTTTTCCATGTTCATGTGTGATATTAGTCTGTACTTTTAATGTCTTTTTCTCTTTGGGCCATCAGAGCAGTGCTGTCTGCTTTTTTCTAGAAATTGGTAATTTGTCTTCTGTCAATCTCTCTTTCTCACTCTCTCTTGCTCTCTGATCAATCTGTCTAGAATTTAGCAATATCATTTATTTACGTGCAGAGAACTGGCCTTGGTTTTGTTGATTTCCTCCATGTTTTTCCCTCAGTGATCTCTGTTCCTATGTTTATTTCCTTCCTGCCTCTGAAGCAGGATATTTAAAAGGCAGTATTATATAAATTGGGGCCATTATTTTTGTGGAAAATAAATTGCTAGCCACAAGTCTGGTTTGTGTTTTACTTAGTAAAAATATTTTTTTTTATTGTGAAATTTTTGTTGTACATTGTTTGTCAGTCACCATATAAAGGCATCCCTCCACTGCTTGTGCCCACCCCTCACCCCCCTTGCCCCTGGTAACCACCAAACAGTTCTGTCTGTCTGTGTGCTGGTTTATCTTCCACATGTGAGTGAAATCATGCAGTGTTTGTCTTTCTCTGTCTGGCTTATTTCGCTTAACATAATACCCTCCAGGTCCATCCATGTTGTTGCAAATGGGACGATTTTGTCTTTCTTTATGGCTGAATAGTAGTCCATGATATATATATATACCACGTCGTCTTTATCCAATAGTAAAAATATTTTTTTTTTTTTTTGGTGAGGAAGATTGGCCCTGAGCTAACATCTGCCAATCCTCCTCTTTTTTTTGATGAGGAAGACTGGCCCTGGGCTAAGATCCATGCCCATCTTCCTCCACTTTATATTGGACGCCGCCACAGCATGGCTTGCCAAGCGGTGCGTCGGTGCGCGCCTGGGATCCGAACCGGCGAACCCCAGGCCGCGGCAACAGAGCGCACGCGCTTAACCGCTTGTGCCACCAGGCCGGCCCCAGTAAAAATATTTTTAAAGCTTAATGTTAAATAAAATCATAGGGGGCCAGCCCTGTGGCTCAGCAGTTAAGTGCGTGTGCTCTGCTACTGGTGGCCTGGGTTCGGATCCCGGGCGCGCACCAACGCACCGCTCGCCTGGCCATGCTGAGGTGGTGTCCCACATACGGCAACTAGAAGGATGTGCAACTATGACATATACCTATCTACTGGGGCTTTGGAGAAGAAGAGGAGGAGGACTGGCAATAGATGTTAGCTCAGGGCCGGTCTTCCTCAGCAAAAAGAGGAGGATTGGCATGGATGTTAGCTTAGGGCTCATCTTCCTCACAAAAAATTAAAAAAAAAAAAAATAAATAAATAAATAAAATCATAGCACTGAACTGATATGTGTATTTTTCTAATTTTCAGGAGGGTTCGCATTTGTATATGAAGCTCAAGATCTTGAAAGTGGCAGAGAGTATGCGTTAAAGGTAATAAAGGATGACAACATTTTTATGTTGGCTTCGTGTTTCTTTTAAAGGGAATCTCTAAGTAACAGTGTTTTCGAGGTTTATCCCTGTTATTTAGTTTATGTTTCTCCATTACAGTCTGTGTCTGTTTGTCCTATTTTTTCTTCTGATGGTGAAGCAATCAGCAGCTTTAGAGGACTGTAAAGCCATAGTTCCCAACTTTGGGGCAAGGACTTGGAGGGCTGCCTAGGGGAGAAGAGTGACCTCACAGTGCCAAAAGCCACTCGTGTAAATGTGTGTCCACAGCATATCTATCAGTTGGGGTCACAGTAAGGGGGGCGTCTGGACCATCTTGGGTGCTGGGCAGGCCCTTGTGGTTTTGTCCTGAGACATGGCAGAAGGCCCGGCTGTGGCTGTGGGGTGCAGTGGGCCTGTTCTCTGTGCGGCTCAGCTAGAAGGGCCAGGGTGCTCACTTTGACTTTGGGGATCAGAACGTACACCCACATCTCTGCTAGTGTCTTGTCTCATTTTCCTTGATTGTCTTATTTTACTCTAGTGTATTTGGAGAAGAGCCTCCTATTTTTAGTTTTTCTTGTGTCCTTGAATGATAAAGGACCATCTTCAAGGGTCTTTAACCTTCTGTCAAGTTTTTACACAGGTCAGATATTAGAATACAGTTCGGCAGGTCAAACTCTTAGATGCATTGTGTTTTTCTTTGGGATGTGGAGTGGAAAGATAAACAGTCTTTAATCTTTTTTATATGTTATTTCTCGATACAGAGATTATTGTCCAATGAAGAGGAAAAGAACAGAGCCATCATTCAGGAAGTTTGTTTTATGGTATCCTTTTCCTGGGGCTGAGAGCGAGTACGTCATGGAGGGAGGCTGTGTCAAGCTGTGGTTCCAGCTGCCACGAGGCCACTCTCTGATGTTCTTTTTGATGTCCTCAAATTGGCCTTTTGCTTTTACTGGACTTACCTGTAGACTGTTTCTAGTAAAAAGGAGCTTTCTTCCTTGTCCTTCACTCCCAGGGTGACAGTAAGAGGTTCAGCAGCTTTGGGGGTAGAGCTGTTGTTGCGACCAGGTCTCCATGTCTAGGGAGTGGACCATTCCCCTGCGCCCTGCCCCTCATCTGCCCCTTATGACCTGCCACAGCCCATGGTGCCTGGCCAAGAGATGTGCAGATGGCTGTTGCAGGGCCCCTCGCCAGGCTTGGTTCCATTGGGCCTCAGTGTCACTTCTCCTGATCAGCTGCCCTGGTCTCCCTTTCACCCTGCCCAGAGCACTCCAGCCATGGGTCCTGCACAGTTGGTGGCTTTGTGGGGCTTTTCTTGCTTGCCCTCCACTCCAGCACATGTTCTGCCTGAGCTGGGGTCTTGCCCTTTGCTGTCAGAATCTGTTCTCTTTTGTCTCTTGAAGCTCTGCCCACTGTGAGCCCACTGGCGCCTAAGCCTGAGGGTGCTCGCCTCGCTGAGGTTCCAGTGGATCCGTTCACTCCTCGTGGCCTCTCGCACCACACCACGTCCTCTGCCTGCTGTCCTGCATGGCTTGTGGTCAGGTGTGTGTCAGCCTGATGGTGGTCTCCATCCCCATCCCCCGTCCCTCTTGCATCTGCCTCCGCCTGCTCTCCCCTGTTGCTCTGCTCTGACATGCTGAGGTCCCAAGGTGATTTGATTCAGTGTCTGCCTTTGGTGTCTTAATATCATATATATTTGTTTTTAAATGTGCAGACTTAACGCATTCTCCTTTAACAAGACGCCTGCAGAAAAAGCTTTCTGGCCACCCCAATATTGTCCAGTTTTGTTCCGCAGCGTCAATAGGAAAAGAGGAGTCGGACACTGGGCAGGCCGAGTTCCTTCTGCTCACTGAGCTCTGCAGAGGTAAAGCTCCTTTGGAGTCGGAGCCGTGGCTTTCTCACATGTTTGAGCAGTTGTGAAATATTCCCAGCCCCTTCTCTCCCGGGAAACGCTTTGGTCGTCATGGGAAGAGCAGGGCTGGCTGTCAGGCGAGGCCAGAGAGGTGGACTTGTGTGAGCTGGGCAGCTGCCTTAGCCCCTGAGGGCACGTGACCTACTCAGGGTCACTCGCACTTGTTGTGTTCTTGCTGCAGAAGGAAGGAAGATTCCCTAGTCCATTGACAGGAGTGGGAGGGAGCTGGGTGTCTTGCAGAGAGTTCTAGGGGCAGAGTGGTCTACGTGAGTGACCTTGAATGGTGCCGAGTGTGAGGGGGTCAGACGTTGGTGCCTGGCTCCTGAGGCAAAGCTGAGTGTCTGTCTACAATGGAAGCAGCACGTGCCCCGTGCAGGATCGGGGCCTGTCCATGCACTGAGCGTCTACCTTGTGCTCGGCGCCACTGGGGTTGACACAGCAGTGGGTGAGGTGGAGGGCCCGCCCTCCTCCTGGAGCTCGCTGTCTAATGGGTGATGCTGAATGGTGTAACTTACAGAGAAAGGTGTTGGGGCAGGACTTGTATGGCCAGTGGGTGCAGAGGCCTGGCCGGGAGGGCCCAGAGCTGGGGACCGGACTCACCGGACGTTGTGACCAGCAGTGGTCACCAGCAGTGCCTGTGGGGAAAGAGGAGGCCAGGGGAGCAGCAGAGGAGACTGAGGCAGGCAACTCCCTAGGGGGATGCACCCCGAGCAGCTGGGCCAGTGCGCCCACAGACATGCTCCTCCGGGGGTCGCTGCCACCGCTGAGGAGCTGTTACGGAGGGAGGCAGGCAGCCGTACGCCAGCATGAGGGACTGATGAGGTGGGGTCTCTGACAGGGCATGGAAGCCCTGGGCTCCCAGCGGGAGTGGGGTTAGAAACTGGATGGGGCACCGGTTATACTCACCACTCCTGGAGGTCCCTGCTTCTTCTCCAGCCACAGAGCTGGGCGGTGTAGGTGCCAATTCACCGGGCTCAGTTCTGGTGTCACTGTTCTTCCACTTAACGGGTGTTTACTATTATTGTTTCTAATTACAAAAGTACACGCTTGTTGAAAAAACAGCAGTGTATAGGTGCTTATAAAAACGGGTTTTCACGAGACATGCTTTTCCTTGGAAACGCTTGCTGCGTCAGGCATCTTTTCACACCACTGCTCTTACCTGTTCCCACTTAAAGGCTCGCAGTTGTGTGTAGATTGACACCACGAGGTCTGTCACTGGCATCCCTTTTGTGACATGTACCTCTTCTCCACCGTGAGTGTTGGTGCACGGCATTGCCCCACATCTGGCGTGAGCCTAGCAGAGGTGGCCCTGGGGGCTAGGTCACCAAAGCAGAGACTACGGCAGGCAGGGGTCGGTGGGCCAGAACGTGCAGATCCTGAGCTGCCGATTCCCTCTGTTTTAAACGTTGTAGAGGTGAATGCAGTTATGTCAAAAACCCAAACATCACAGAAGTATGAGGAGTCCACGTCGTCACCCCAAGCCTTATGCCCCCTCTAGAGCAGTTAGAATAATAGTGTCTTTTGGCACTGCTGTGTGCAGGCACAGGGGTTCAGTGACTCACCCAGGCAAAGCAAATAGACCCCAACCCAAGTCCAGTCAGGGGTGAGGTAGTTCCAACTGTTGGGGAGAAATGAGGCTAGGGAAAGGGGGTGCACATTCAACGGGCTGAGCAAAGGTGGCTCCCTGGCCGCTGATGTGTGAGCCTGGTGCTGAAGGAAGTGAGGGAGGGAGGCCCTCCCAGCCGAGGAGCAGCATGTGCAGAGTTCCTGAGGCGGGGACAAGAAGGAGGCGTGTGGCTGGAGGGGAGTGAGCATGGGGGGCACGGCAGGAGTGGTGAGTGTCGATCACGGGTGTGCCAATGACCTTGGTTTTGCATCAAGTGGGAGGGTCTGGGGAGCGCAGGAGCTGAGGCAGCCTGGGGCCTGGACCAGGGAGGGAGCAGCGCAGGGCCAAGGAGAGGGTGGGCTCTCAGAAGAGGCTCTGTGGATGGTGCCATGCTTCAGGACGTCCAGGGTAAGAACAGGATTGGGGGTATTGGGGTGTATGGACTGTGGGCAGCCTGTGGATCTGGCGCTCAAGGCATGAAGGTAGGTGTCCCTGGTAGACGACATGCAGTCATAGAGGAGCCAGCCAGCCCTCCACCAGAGGGTCCTGGCTTCATTGGTCTGGGCTGGAGCCAGTCACAGAAGGACTGGGGTCCCTGGGCTACAGAGGTGTGGGGAGCCCCTGAGGGTGGTGTCCTGGGGTCAGAAGGGGGGCCCAGAGCCTTGCCGTCTGCGTCTGTGCTCCCAGCACATGCTCCGCTCCACGTACAGTCTGTGCGTTTGGTATGGAATGCACGGTTCCTGAGATAAGCCCGTGTGTCGACAACCTGAGGAAACGTCGCTGTGATTTCACTAGAGAGATTGAAAAGATGTGCGTGTCTTGGGTGGTTTCTCCTGTAGCTGCTGTGTCAGCCTGACTCCGAGTGGTAAGGGTCTGTGATGCTTTTCTTGGCGGCCTTGTGCGTGCTCTGCGTGGGGCAGCAGGTGTCCTTCCCCAGGGGGCTCTAGCTGGAGTGCATCCCGTCCCGTGGTGGTTGCCTTTCCACCACACTCCCGTCTGGGCAGTTTCCTGGAAGTGTTGCTTCTGTCTCCAGGGGCTGCGTAGTGTAAGGCCTAGCTGACAAATCCCTTCCCCTGTGCCTGCCATGGAGAGGCGGGGCAGTCTCCCGTGGTGGGCTCAGAAGGGCAGTGGGTGAGGCTGTGTGGCTGTGCCGGCCTGAGGTGGGTCTAGCATTTATAGCTCCGTGGTGATGTGAATTGTCTCTTTTAGGGCAGCTGGTGGAATTTTTGAGGAAAGGTGAATCTAAAGGTCCACTCTCGTGTGACACCGTCCTGAAGATCTTCTATCAGACGTGCAGGGCGGTGCAGCACATGCACAGGCAGAAGCCGCCCATCGTCCACAGAGACCTCAAGGTAGGCCTCCCGGCTCCCCTCCACCACTGGTCAGGGTGTCCACGCTCCTGAGCAGTGAGGTGTGTAATGGCTGTACCACAGAGGTTGGGAATGACCAGCGTAGGAGCTTCTTAATGTGAAAGTGGATTTTCTGGAAGCTTCTCCCTTGAAGTAGTGACAAGAACCCTCTCTCCACAGCATCCAACTTTGCGGATGCAGGTGGATGCCCCCCTCCGCCCTCCGGGATCCTGGAAGCCTGTCATGCCCAGTGGCCCTCCTGCGACCCGGGGCCTCCTCAGGGTTCCCGCCATTTCCTGTGGTCAGGCTATTTCCTCCCCGCTGTGGGTGGGCGTGCCACCACTTCACCCCGCCTTCCCACCCTCGCAGCTGTGGGAATTCTCAGCCCACAGTGCTCCCTTCTTTCCGCTTTGTGGAACCAGGAGGAAAGCGACTGCTCCTCTTGATTGCTCTTGCTGCTGCACCGTGTGGAGCCGATGCCCGCTGGGGCTCTGCCGGGTGCCACTGCCTGCGTTTCCCCACGGGCTCGCCATCCTGCAGTGAGGAGTGCTGCAGAGGTGCTGACACACAGCAGGGCCTCTGGGCTGGGCTGTGCTGCGGCAGCTAGGCCTGTCCCCTTGGCCATCGCCCTGGCCGGCCACACTCGGAGCTGCCTGTTTTGGTGTTGCTGGCAATGCCGCTGGGTTGGGCCCTTGCCGTTTCCTGATGATAACCAGGCTGGGTGTTTCTGCCCAGGCATGATGGAGTAGTTAGTGCCTCATTCTTCAGTTAACTTACTCTTCGTTTTTTGCCTTTTTTTCTGTTTTTTGTCTATTAGGTTATTTTTGATTCATTGGCGCTCCTTGTATGTTCTCACGACAGTCTTTTTTAAGTTATATGTGCTGCAAATGTCTTCTCCTGGGTTATGGCCAAGTTTTTATTCCCCCATTGTGTCTCTGAAAACCCAAGACTCTGTGAAAAAATTATGTGGCATCCACGAAGATTGTGCGCCAGCTCTGGCCACGCCTTGGGGTAGCAGCAGCCCCCCTTGTCCTACTTGCTGGCACAGGTTTTTGCTGAAGAATTTCAAAGCAGACCCCAGACCTCATGCCATTTCACTCCCAGAGACTTCTACTCGACTTTGGGAAAATAAGGATGTTTTCTTATACAACCAAAACACCATTGTTGCTTCAGCAAAATTTAAATACCCCTCAGTGTTATCTCATGTCCAGTCTGTGGCCAGCTTTCTGCGGTTTTCCCCAAGTGTGATGGCCCTTAAACCTCGCTGACCTGGAGCAGCGCCCTCCCCCGGATGGGGCAGGGGCAGCTGTGGTTCCCCCTTCTCAGTCTCATCCTACCCCACCCGCCAGGGCAGGCTCCTCCTTGGATGCCTGAGTGGCCGGGAGTCACTACCATCCTGTCTGTGGGGGTGGTGTCTTCGATCAGATTTGAACCTTGGGTGAACCTGACCTTTTTATTTTGTCCCCTGAATCTGAGAGGCCTGGTTTCAGGTGACTAGTTGGCAGGTACCCCCATTGCAGAAACCCGTGGGGTTGGGAACCACCTCCCTGGACCCTGCGAGGGGCTTGTTGGGGGGACGTGCACAGAGCTGCGAGGGGCACGTCCAGGACGCATGGGCAGCGGTGGTCCTGCAAATGGGAAGGCCTTTCTCTGCCACTGGGGGCTCGTGAATTTTCCTAGGGCATCAAGACTCTTCTGGTTTATGTGTTAGGCACATGCTTGTGCATGTGTAGTTTTTGTTAAGGGAAGTAAAAAACTAGGAGGACAAAGTTAGTAAAGAATCAGTGTTCGTGAGCTTGGCCTGGGTTTGATATCCTGTGTCTTCTAAGTGCCCGGTGTGCGCCAGGGGACCATGGCAGCTGGCCCACAGCAGTGCCGGGCCTCCCTCCAGGTGTCTCCATGGTCTGTCCACGGGAGTCCTAGAGTGGCGCTCTGTGGAGGGGCAGGCCGGACACGGGGGACAGCAGAGCCCGTGGTCCCACTCGGGCTGTCCCACTTCTCATTCATATCTTTGTATCAGGTGTTGGGCTCAGTGTTAGGAGTTTAAGGTTTGTTTGTCCTGTGTAGCCCACGCTTAGTGGAGTGAGCGTCATAGGAGCTCACTTCACGTGCCTGATCCCTGTTTCCCGTGTTTGTAGCCAACAGTGCTGCTCTGGGCCTCTGGACGTCCTTGTCCTGTGCTCTGGTCCGTGGGCGCTTGCGTCCTCCATAGAGTGTTGGCGAGTGTGTGCGTCTTTGCTGGGACTGTGCCCCCAGCAGCACCTGGTGGTCCCTGTGCTTGCGCCCTGTGGGCCCTTGGTGTTGGCGGGCCTTTAATCTCGGCGCTGGTGTGGTGCATGCTCGTGGTTGGAGCTGCACTTGCTTCCTGTTGATGCAGTTGACCATCTTCGTGTTTGTGGGAGCTTGGGTTTCCTCCTCGGAATGTTCCTGTTAGAGCCTCTGCCTGGTTTCCCACGGAGTCATTGTTGCTTTCCCGGAGACTCACTGTGTGGGTTATGTGTGGCGAGTGTGTCTCCTCCATGGCTTGCGTTTTCACTCGTGATGGTTCGTGTCTTTGATGAGGATGCTCTCTTTTCAGTGGAGTGTCTGTCAGCCGTCATCACGTCTGTGCTCCTATCCTGTTGAGGACTCGTCACCCTCCGGCACGTTGTCCTGGAAGATCTGTGTTTGCCTTTGCGCTGGGGCAGGTCTTCCTTGGTTCCTCGTGGGGCCTTCTTTCTCCTCTCCCAGCTCCTTGGCTGCATGGCTGACATGTGCCCACGTCCTGTGGTGCCACCTCGCCGTGGGTGTGGCGCTCACTGGATCTTCCTGTTGCACCGTTGGTTGGTCCTGGTGCCCCTCTGCCTTACTTGCCAGAGCTTCACAATATGGCTTAAATCTGGTTCTTGGGATTGGGGGGTTCTTTTTGGCTCTGTGTGTCTCTCCACTAAATTTTTGAATCAGTTTTTCAGGTTGAACCCAAAAAACTTTTGGGAATTTGATTGGAATTGCCTTGACTCTCCCTAGAGCAAGGGTCGACAAGCTCTTTCTATAAAGGGCCAGGCTTTAAACATTTTGGCTTTTTGGGCCATGCAGTCTCTGCCAACCCTGCTGTGTAGCACAGAAGCAGCCACGGCCAGTAAAGCTGCTTGTGGACCTGTGTCAGGAAGTATTAGTCTCCCTTTGATTTTTCCCAACCACTTAAAAACATAAAAGCCGTTCTTAGCCTGTGGGCTGTACAGAAGCAGGCAGGGGCTGAATTGGCTCCAGGACGGTAGATCGCGACCCTGGAGGGATTGGGGCAGATCTGTGCCTTTCGTGTTAAGAGTGTGGTCTAGTTTCCTGTGTATCTTGGATTTTAAAAATTTATCTCAGTTACTTACAGTTTTCTGAGTAGGAGGTCTTTTATATATCTTTTGTTAGATTTCTTCTTAAGTTCTTGATCACTTTGATAATTTCCAAGTGGTACGTTAATTTTTTTCATCTTCTAACTGACTTTTCTAATGACTTTCCTTGTATATCCCACATTGTTAATTGGAAGTTATCTTTGATTGAATCATTCTTTCTTTTATTTTCTGAATTGCCCATTTTTAAAGGTACATGTACTGATTCTGATCAGAAAGGAGTTAGACACTGCCTTTTTCCCTTGGCTGGAGGAGAGCCCCTTGCTGACCTTTCTGTGGACCCTCCCGCCCCTCAGGCCGCTCCCTGCCCAGTGGCCTCTCCTGCCTTTGATAATTCCCACTGTGTTTATCCCACAGCCCTGTCTCTGTCCGCTCCCCAAGTTCATGAGTACTGTCTTCTGGCATTTTGCAGGTTGAAAACTTGTTGCTTAGTAACCAGGGGACCATTAAGCTGTGTGACTTTGGCAGCGCCACAACCATACTGCACTACCCTGACTACAGCTGGAGCGCCCAGAAGCGGGCCCTGGTGGAGGAGGAGGTGAGCAGTGGGGCCGGGCGGTGTCTCTCCTCAGCCACTGGGATTCTCTGACTGTGGCTGTGCAGTGTGTCCTGTGAGCCCGACCGACCAGACCCACACCCGCTCCCAGGGCCACTGTGAGGGCCCGCCCTGTTCCTGACAGCCTGCCCTCGCGGCTCATTTGTGGGCAGGAAGCAGCGTATTGGAATGTTGCCTTGCGTCTCTGTCACTCAGCTCATCCCAAACCTGCCTCTGAATGTGTTAAATGTGAAGCTTGCCCGGAGGTCAGGTTGGCGCGGAGCACTTGCTCCCTCTCCCTGCGTCCGTGGCATCTGCATCACAGCCCAGACCAGAGGGAAGTGCAGGCCCCTTCCCCTGTTGGTGCACAGGCGTCCGTGACCCGCTGCCTGTCACCTGCAGCATACAGCGCTCGTCCAGGGAAGGTTCTGTCCTCCCCATGAGCCCTGTTATTAAATTGGAGATGTGTGCCAGGTCATCCCAAACCCACTGAGTTCTCACTTTTGTGTCAGAGCATCTATCACATTCCCAGTGAAGTGATATCCATGTTAATGCTCCAAACCGGGCTTCTCTCCGAGTCGGCTGGTGGAGCTTAGTGGTGTTGGAAGTGTGGCTGTGGCTGAGGCTGAACTGAAGCACAGGAAGGAGCCTCGGTCCTCGTCAGGGGGCTGGTTTGTGTAGTTTTGTCACCACTTCCAGGGGCTCTGCGTCCCCGTTGAGTAGTTGGAGCAGATGTACAGAGTCATGCGGCTGTCCGCACTGTCAGGTACACAGTGTTTTTGGGTGATGGTTGCTTTGCTCTTCCAGTCAAGGTGCAGTCTGCTTACCCTGTGGGGTGCATGAAGACCTCTCTGCCTCTCCCAGCCTTGCATTACCCCCAGCCGCCTTCTACACTGCGGTTGTGGGAGCCTCTCATCTGTTGATTGTTCATAAGGACTTGTGGGTGCCATTGTTCTCATGGTTCATCATTCAGTGTGTCGGGAATTATTTTGGTGCTAAAATGCCCTGGATGTGCTTCACGCTGGCTCCTGTATTTGACATGCTCCCATCATTTTGGAGCACCTGTCTACTTTCTGGAACAGCAGGATGTTCCGGCCTCAGCAGGTACCTGCCCTGCGTGGCCCCGGCATCACCTGTTCCTCAGAGGAGATGAAGCTCTGGCGGAGGTGTGTGCGTCTGCCTTGGTGTCTACGCTTCCAGTGGACTGCACGTACAGCCACATGCCTGCATGTTAGCTCACGCCGCGTGCCTATCTACATGTATGTCCTTCTAGAGATCACGCATCCATGCTGACCCCTCCTCCAGCCTGTCCCATAGGCTTCTTGCTCCCATCCTACATCTGCTTGTCCCTCTTTCTCAGCAACAGCCCAGCCCCAACAGCATCAGCGTGTGCCTCTACCCCATCAGTCCTGCTGTACATTGGGAGTCCAGGGTTACCAGAAAAGACAAATCTCAAAGGAATTCAGGATTTACTTGTGGTTCTTCTGCCACCCCCGCTGCAACCCAGACCAAGGACATGCCGACGGCGCTGTGCTTAGAAGTTCCTGGATCTGTTACCTTTCCTTCAGGGGGGTTTTGTTACTCATTTGAAATATGGGTGTACCTTGGAGATAGTGTGGGCTCGTTCCAGACCACTGCAGTAAAGCAGATATGGCAGTGAGGGCGAGTCATGCGAAGCTTCTGGTTTCCCAGTGCATATAGAAGTTATGTTTACACTATACTGTAGTCTAATACGTGTGCAATAGCATTGTGTCCAAAAAATAACGATATACATTCATTAAACAATACTTCATTGCTAGAATAAATGTGATACAGAGGCACGAAGTGAGCAGATGGTGCTGGAAAAATGGCTCCAATAGACTTGCTCGATGCAGGGTTGCCACAAACCTTCAATTTGTAAAAAGCCTGACATCTGCAGACTGCAATAAAATGAGATGTGCCTGTACGTTTGGATTTATCTTTTATTGTTTTGTCTTATTTTGGAATTGATGGACTTTACTTTTTGAGCAGGTCCAGGTTTACAGAAGAGTTTAGCTGAAAGCAGAGCTCCCGCATCCCCACGCTCCTCAGTCTCGCATCCTCCAGGTCCCACTGCACGGTTTCCTGCTTGCCTCTTGAGTCTCTTTCTCCAGAGATGAGCAGAGGGATGTGCGTTTCCCACTCCCCATCTCACGCTATGCACGCTCTCTTGGCTCCTGTTGGCTCTTTCACTTCGGGTGTCTCCTGAGTCAGTCCACACGACTGCACTGGGGTCGTCTTCATTTCCTTTGTGACCGCATCGTGTCTGGTTTTTTTTTTTTTTTTTTTTTTTTTTTTTGAGGAGATCAGCCCTGTGCTAACATCTGCCAATCCTCCTCTTTTTTTTTTTTTTTTTTTGCTGAGGAAGACTGGCCCTGGGCTAACATCCGTGCCCATCTTCCTCCACTTTATATGGGACGCTGCCACAGCATGGCTTGCCAAGCGGTGTGTCGGTGCGCACCCGGGATCCGAACCAGCGAACCCCGGGCCGCCGCAGCAGAGCGCACACACTTAACCGCTTGCGCCACTGGGCCGGCCCCTCATGTCTGTTTTGTACAGCCCTGGTCTCTCCAGGCAGTACCTTCTGCCCGTGGTCACGTGTGTGCAGTGTCTTGCACAGTCTGCAGCCTGCACGTGTTTCCTCATGCTGTCAGTGTGCAGTCCTAGAAGTGCCATTGCTGGGTTGAAGGGTTAATGCCACACGTTGAGCTACAGAAAATAGTTTTTAACGGAAGTTTCTCAGATTCACACAACAGCGCAGAATCATCAGCATACAGCTTGATGACCCTTTTTTTTTTTTTTTTTTTTTTGTGCGAGGAAGATCAGCCCTGAGCTAGCATCCATGCTAATCCTCCCCTTTTTGTTGAGGAAGACCAGCTCTGAGCTAACATCTATTGCCAATCCTCCTCCTTTTTTTTTTCCCCAAAGCCCAGTAGATAGTTGTATGTCATAGTTGCACATCCTTCTAATTGCTGTATGTGGGACGCGGCCTCAGCATGGCCGGAGAAGCGGTGCATCGGTGCGCGCCTGGGGTCCGAACGTGGGCCGCCAGTAGCAGAGCGCATGCGCTTAACCGCTAAGCCACGGGGCTGGCCCTGCTTGATGACTCTTCCCATGTGGACTCTTCCCTGTTCTCACCTCTGGGCCACATGGTGCCCTGGCCTCCATCCCTCCTAGTGCTCTGGGCGAGTCCTGCCTAGGCTGAGCACTGTAGTGTGGTCTTCTGAGGGCCTGCTCAAGGCCCTTGCCAACTTTCGATGGGGTCTTGTGTATTTCTGAGGACTTGCAGGAGTTACTGACTGGTCTGCTCATGAGCCCTCTGTTGGCATGGGGTCTCACATGCATGCTTTCCCAGCCTGTGGCTGACCTCTTCAGGGTGTTTACTCGTGCAGAGTAGGTCTTCAGGTGGAGAGAGTTGATCACGCTGCCTGTCCTCGATGTCGGGGCACTGTTTGTTCACCGTCTCCCTGGAACCCGCAGCCGTGGGTCGGCGTTTGTGTGTTTGCTGTGCCCTGGGACGCACTTTCCCTGTGCTGTGCCCACTGGCTGCTCGTCTGTCACATGTTCCGCCCTCGTACGTGGTCTCAGGGTCTTTCACGTAAGGATCTGACCCAACAGGTAACTGGTGTAGTCCTCCCTCCCGTCACAGAAGGTTCTCTGTCTACAAGAACTCGTCAGGAAGCTCCTTTTAGCTCAGTGCTTCCGTTCACATGCGAAGCTGGCTTGTGTGCGCCACCCTGGATTAGGTTTCCTGTTAGTGAGGCCCACTTCTGTGAACAAACAGCTGGGACGCCATGTTGTGTGCTGTGGCGTGGCTGCTTCAGCAAACACTGGAGGCCATGAGAGGTGGACGAGATGAGTGACTCTGGAGATGGGCGGCAGAGGGGGTCAGGAGGGAGGTGAGCAGCCTGAGATCTTTCTGGAACACAGTGGGATGTAAATGAGCATTGTCATAAACGTCCTGCAGTGTATTTTGGAAAGTTGCAGGGCATTGATGCGAAATAAAAAATATTACTTGGCTGTAACTTTTCCTTTGAAGTGTCTTTGTCTTTTCTTCAGATCACCAGGAACACAACACCCATGTATAGGACGCCAGAAATCGTGGACTTGTACTCGAACTTCCCGATCGGCGAGAAACAGGACATCTGGGTGAGGCTGCACCCCTGTGGTGCCGAGCAGCCCTGCCGCACAGGTTCTCGGGCTCAGGTTCTAGCCGCCATGGCTCAAGAGGCCACGTTCCCCTTGGTCTCCCTTCTTTTTTCTTTTTCTTTTCATTTTTTCTTCATTTTCTGGAGAGTCACTTGTGACTGTTGTTGGTGGAGGTGGACCAAGTAGAAATTGGATGGGGTGTCAGCGTGGAGCAGAATCGGCACAGGGTCCTGCCTGGGCGTCGTGCCCACGACAGGTCTGCTGCCTCAGGCTTGCACCTGAGCTCTCCTGGTCAGAGCCCCTCCGAGGTCCTGGGGATTCATGGCCAGACGCTGGACATCCCAGACAGCCTTGGAGCTTTATGCCAGCCTGGTGAGGGCCCGAGTGAGGGCTGGTCCTGACGCCCAGAGTGGGGGGTCTCAGAGTGAGGGCTGGGGTCTGATGCCTGGGTTGGGGGGTGCGTCTCAGAGTGAGAGGTTAAAGGGGTCTCAGAGTGAGGGCTGGGGTCTGACACCCCAGTTGGGGGGAATCTCAGAGTGAAGGGTTGGAGGGGTCTCAGAGTGAGAGCTGGCGTCTGACAGCCAGGTTGGGGGGATCTCAGAGTAAGAGGTTGGAGGGGTCTCAGAGTGAGAGCTGGGGTCTGACACCCAGGATGGGGGCAGTCTCAGAGTGAGGGCTGGGCTGGATGCCCAGGTGACGCTCCTCCTTCGCCTCTCTGAGGCCCTGCCCCATCGACGGAGGGCGGTCCCTGTGTGGGGTGAGCATTGTGCCTGGCTGTGCTCCTCTGGTGTCTGCTGATCCTTCTTTCTGAGTTGTGTGGGAGTGCAGGGAGTGCAGCCCTGAGTGGCAGGGTGCTGCCCTGCCCGCGCCAAGGGGTCCTCTGGCCTCCCTGGTTTCTCTGAGGGCAGGGACAGTGGCGCCTCAGCCCCAGAGCGCCCTGAGCCACTACCCCTCCAAGCTCTTGGTCTCAGCTGTCAGACCCGCGTCCAGTGCTCCTGCTGTAGACGTGGGTCTCTGTCGGTGGGACCTGCGTGCTGTAACCTTTCTCAGTAACGGAGGCAGTGCCAGTGCTGCCGCACACTGCGTCTTCCTTTTCCAAATCTCAGTCGGCCCCATGTGGGTGCCCTCAGCACGTCCCAGCCTGAGGACGCACGCACACATGCACATGGGAGTTTAAAAGGTGAACCTGAAATTGCACGCTTAGGGCTTGGCCTCCTTGGATGTCTGCGTGTGCTGGATGGGATGCTGGTGGGAGGCAGTCATGGGTCCCGCGTCATGTTGCCGAGGGTGGGTGCTGTGGTGGGATAGAAGTGAGGAGAGACTGACGTTTGGTTCAGGGCCAGTTCTGTGGAAACCCCGACTGACTGTGTAGGTTTGGTTCCTGCTTTGGTGGTTGGCTCGTGCTTCTGTGGACACTGAACAGCGTGGAGGTGGGGTCTTCTTCTGCAGCCACCCTGTCCTGGAGGGTGAGAAAGGCCCTGGCCGACATGCCCTGATGCTCAAACGCAGAACTTTTCATTTTGAAGAACCCTTTACCAGAAAATGAGAGATTGGAGTTCTTTACTTCTCTGACCTCAATAGTCCTCTGTGTCTGATGAGGCTGGAGGAGCGGGCTGGCTGTGGGGAGTGCGGGGAGTGTTGCAGCCGCCTGTGCCTAGCTCAGACCGGGGCGTGGCTCGGCACGGAGACTCAGCCTTAACTGTGCCTTCGAGGATCCCAAGACGGGGCAGCCGGCTCCTCTGTCCCCTCTGCCCCGCCTCACCTCTCTCCTTCCCTGCAGGCCCTGGGCTGCATCTTGTACCTGCTGTGCTTCGGGCAGCACCCTTTTGAAGATGGGGCAAAACTTCGAATAGTCAACGGAAAGTACTCGATCCCTCCTAACGACAGCCGGTACTCCGTGTTTCATGGCCTTATCCGTAAGTCCTGTGTGCAGGGACCACAGAGGACACTGTCCTGTCTGGGGTGGCACTGTCTCCTGCCCGGCCCCTTGTGTGGCAGCCTCCCTGGCACGGGCTTTCTGGTGGGGCCCCACTGGGGCAGCCCCTGTGAACTTATGCTGCTCTGACTATGGTGCTCTCAGTGGTTGGATTTGATGATTTTGCTCCATTTTATTGTTGCTCTTTATGTCATCATTTCCTCACTTGCTTTTAAAATTGGTAATGTAAGTAAAACACAGGGCCTTGGGGGTCTGTCACCTCTACGAGAGCAGGGCAGGCCCTCCACCAGGACTTTGGACGACACACACTGCCTCTGCCACAGGTGCCACGCTGAAGGTCAACCCAGAGGAGCGGCTGTCCATCACGGAGCTGGTGAACCAGCTCCAGGAGATCGCAGCGGCCAGGAACGTGAACCCTAAGTTGCCCATCACCGAGGTAGGGCCCTCCAGGTGTTGCTCGTGGTTGCATGGTCTTGGCGTCATGTCGAGGGCCCAATCTGCTTTAAAGCGGGTGACGCAGCTCTGAGGGGGCTCCCGAACATCATGCAGTGAGGAGCCCCCACGCAGCCTGAGGTGATCCGAGTCCCTCTGAGGGCGGGACTGAGGGCAGCCCTGTGGGGTCACAGGAATCGGGAGTAAAGCTGGGTGTGGGACACCCCGTGACGACTCTCGGCGTTTCTGTATCTGACAGGCACTTAACGCGTGGGCCCGTTCCCGTGCCAGGGGGCCCAGGGTAGGATGTGGAAACAAAGGCCCAATGTGTCAGACAGTGGCCATCGGTGTGGGGAAGAGAGAGCATCGGGAAGGCTTGGGCAATGGGTCTGGTTCAGAGAGAAGGGCCAGGCGAGGAGAGGACCCCTGAGCAGTGTGGCTCTGAGGCAGGTCAGCCCGTGGCTGCCATGTGGCCCTTCACAGAGAACATGTGCCCTCCAGGGGTTAGGCCTGGGTGTGTTGCTGGGAGCTCTCCAGGGGGTGGGCAGAGGTGCCAACGGACAGGCGCAGGGGCACATTCCGATCTTAGCACCTCTGGAACCCAGCAGCCGTGGCTGCTGATGTTAAAGCCCTTCCGTAGCTTCTGCTCCAGGCCACGTGGGGCAGCGCACAGCAGACGGAGCCCCAGAGTGAGGACAGGAGTAGGACCCTAAAGCCCAGAGTGGAGCCACACGAAAGCTGGGCTGTGTCGTGAACTAGGATCGTGTGAAGGAGTCATCGAGCAGATCCAGCGGCATCTGCGTGTCCTTGACGTGGCTCAGAGATACTGAGTGACGTTTACCAGCATTTACGAGGAGTTGTGAGGAGTGTCCGGTCAAATGTTTTGTTCCTTGTAGAACTGACAAAACAAGGAAATCAGGCTGAGAACTTGTGAAGAAAAGGCATGGTTGATCTGAGGGACGTATGCTATCTTACGTCCAACAGAGCGTATGTATCATCTTGAAGCATCCACGGACTGTTAACATTGGCCTCCTGTCAGGTCACAGAGAAAGACAAAATTTCATCATGTTCCATAGAGTTGATAACACGTACGCCTTACTTTCTGAGCTTTGTGTATTCTTCAGAATACAAGAATATTTTTTAAAACCCCACAAAAAACTATAAAGCATACTTCCAAGTCACCTATACAAAGAGCAGCGGTGGATACTACGACCTGTTCAAGGCTGAGCATGGTTGAGGCCGGAGCTCGAGGGGGGCTGGGCAGGCGTCCTGCAGCCCTGCTTCCAGCCTGGTCCTGATGCTGCCAGGGGCTCCAAGCAGCTCTCCCAAGGTTTGGGCCTTGAGGCTCCAGCGGCGCTGGCTCTGGGCTCCGCTCGTGAAGGACAGCGCCTCTCACTGGGCGCAGCCCACTGGTCTGCTTCCACAGCAGGCAGAGGCCACGAGCTGGCTGAGCCCAGGTGGCTGTGGGTCACAGACGCCCCGCCCTGAGGGTCTGCTCATCCCCATGCTGCGTTCGTCCTCTGTCGACTGCAGTGCCTAGGTGCAGGGGGTGTGCAGCAAGCCCTGGCTGAGTGGGGCAGGTTCACGCTGCCTCCTCTGTCATGGCAACATTCGCCTGAGAATTGCGAGTGGAGGTTCATTTGTCACTGTGACCCACCCTTTGGTTCAACTGGACCGTTTAGAGCCTGGGAAATTCTTCCCTTGGGTTTTACAATAAACCGGGTAGAGAGAGGAGGGTTCATCGGTAGCCAGCGTGCCTGCAGCTAGTGGATGCCGCATGCTGGTGTCCTCCGTAGTGAGGAGCAGTGTGGACTGCAGGCGCTGTGTGCCGGTGTCTGTGAGGTCTTCCTGGCGGGGAACGGCGTGTCTCTGACCTCTGTAGAAGTTGACTCCTTGCTTGTGAATCCTTATAGCTCCTGGAGCAGAATGGAGGCTGTGGGAGTGCTGCCCTGTCCCGAGGGCCATCCCCTCCCGGGGGCCCCACGAGCAGCGGCTACAGTGGAGGTGAGTACCCTTGCCCTATACCTGCGGTTTGCCCCCTGGGTTACCACACTCCTGCTGTGCTCTTGCAGGGCACCCACCTCTTGCTCTCGTGGGGCTTTTGGCCTGGCAGCAAGACAGGCTGCACATTGGGGGTCCTGAGGCCACCTTTGGGTTCGTGATTGCCTGGAACTCCCAGGACTCGGCGGAGTCGACACTCCAGCCAGGGTTTAGGACAGGGAACTAGGGGAGAGGAGCAAGCACCAGCTGTCCCATCCTGGTGCCGTCAGGACAGCGCTGCTCCTCTGCAGCACCCTGTGACAACGGAGGCAGGCTCAAACCCTGGCGCCTGGCATGCAGGGTTGTGGGGGTGACCACACAGGCATTATCGCCTGCCTATGTGGCTGACTTAGTCTCCAGCCCCTCGGAGGCCCAGGTGATGCATGTGCCCCATGGCCCCTCCCTGAGTCACCCATTGGCCTGGCCACGGGCCAGGTAGACGAGGGCGTGCCTCGCAGGGCTGCGGACTTCGGCTGCCAGGAGGAGTGCATTGGAAGGGCGCCTCGTGGGGAAACAGAGCGACTGTGACGGGATTCAGGGAGGGCTGCAGAGATCTGAGGTGGGGGCTCAAATGAGGGTGTGGCAGGGCGGTTCTGTAGGAGTGGAGGTGGGGCTGGTGGGTTGTCCTCAACACTCAGGTCGCATTTGAGTGAGTGGTTTGAACTCCCCATGTCCGCTGTGTATCAGCGTGGGTCTGGGCACCCATTGCTGGTGTGACGCAGCTGTGTCCCTGGAGGAGCCCTCAGCCTGGGCTCTATGTGGCCGCACCCAGAAGGTTCCGGGAGGCCAAGCCAGGATATGCTTCTCTGTCACGGGCCCCCGTCCTAATCCACCACATCTCACTGTCTGGGGTGTGCAGTCCAGCACCAGGTCCTCCTGAGCTCTCCTGGCAGCCAGCCGACTCATGTCCTAGCTTCTCCATGTCCACAGTATGGATCCAGCACCACCGGCTCTGGATGCCCAGCACGTGGGGCAGCCTGGATGGCCGTGGGGGGTGGGTTCTTGAGGCACTGAGACGAGACCGTACCACACGCGTGCTTATACCACACGTGTGTGGGGTTGCTTGTCTGGGGCCGGGCTGGTCACTGCCTGATGAAGGAGCAGTGTAAACATCACATGTGGAGCATGGCTACATCTTAGCGGCTGCCGAACAGCCTGAGAGTGGCCAGCCCTTTGTCCTACCTGTGACCCAGCTGTCTGGCCCGTGTTGCTGCATGGGTCACAGAAGCCGTGGGAGAGGCCTGGCAGACGACCCTGCAGCACAGATGCAGCACGTGTATCGTGCCTCCCTTTTTCTGCTGACTGCTGCCACCAGAGCTGCCTTTGAAGACCGTGTGCCAGGGACCTTGGGGTTTGAGGCCCCACCTTCCTTTGTTACCATCTGTTCACATCTGGGTGCAGCCTGGACCCCTGCAGACGGGTTGAGTCCCAGCCTGAAGCACACCTGAGGTCCAGCCACACGGCCTTTCAGGGCCCAGCCCCTCCTTTGGCCTCCCGGCAAAGCCTTCTCCGTCCCGTCCTCTGCCTCTGTGGCCTCTGTGTGCGCGGTGTCCCTTTGCCTCAAGTGGAGGCTGCCTTGCCTTTGCTGGGCCCCTCAGCACGCATTTGTGTGACAGCGGGGTCCCAGCTGGCGTCCAGTGAGTGCGGAAGTGAACTGGGTCAGTGTCCTGGAGACGGGAATGGAGGCCTTGTGCACGCAAAGGCCTGCTAGCCAGAGGTTCAGGCTCTCGCGGCCTGTGTTCAGGTTCTGCCCTCCTGAGAGTGGCCTGGGGTGCCTGGGCACGCATTTTGCGGGTGCTGCACAGAGTGGGGCCACCCGCCAGGCTTGTTCCTCTGCTTGGCCCTGGAGCGCTGGTGGTTGGGGTCAGCAGGAGTGCAGTTCGCTGCAGGTTCTCGTCGTCTAGGCTCTCCCGTCTCTGTGGGGGTTGGCACAGCGCCCAGGTGTGCTGGCTCCCACTGCGACCTAAGGCTTGTCTCTGCTGGCAGGCCTCGTGGTTGCCGAGTATGACCAGCCCTATGGCGGGTTCCTGGACATCCTGCGTGGGAGCACCGAGCGCCTCTTCACAAACATCAAGGACACGTCCTCCAAGGTGATCCAGTCCGTCGCCAGGTGAGTCAAGGGCAGGTTCTAGGCGAGTACATGTGGTTTCTTGGTCCTTGAGATTCTCCCATCTGTGGGCACTGCCTTGCCCCCATGCCTGGCAAAACTGGCGTCATGGCTGTCGGTGAACGTGCAATGCTCACGCCACCCCTGCCCCTCTGTGCAGGCTCAGCCGTCAGGCTTGCAGTCCCCTGGTGGGCTTTGTGCTGTGGGGTGGCGGTGGCCCCGGCAGCCTTGTTTCCACCCTTGCCACGGAGAGCATTTTGGTGAGACAGTGGAGAAGTGCAGACGCTGGGCCTGCAGGAGCTCCTAGAGCTGTGGGCCAGCATCGCCCTCTCCCAGGAGGCCGTGAGCCCCTGCCTCGGAGTCCCTTTTTGCTGTGACAGCACCCCTCACGTTTGCGCTGTGCATGTTCTATGGTGTGGAGGGAGTGGGGCGGTCGTAGGGTGCCGAGATGACTTGTTACCGCCGTCCCTGTTAGTTAAAATGTCAAATCATTCGGACATGGGCCGGGTAGGTTTGAGCGTGTGGGTGAATGAAGTCGCGTGTGAGCGGACTGTCGAGGGGAACAGAAGTGGAAGCTGTCCTGTCCTCTTGGATGCTGGCCCACGGTCCCCATGGCCAGAAGCATGGTGTCCTGTGAGGGGTCTTGGCTTCGCCCAGGGAGCTCTGTGCCGGGTGCCACTGAGCCCCAGCTGGCCCTAGTCTCCAGCACAGCCACCAGCGGCCAAGGCGTCGGCATCGACAGGAGGCAGTTGCTCCTATTCCGGCTGTTTGGGGGGACGGCCGCGGAAGCTGAGCAGAGATTCTCGCTGACGTGTCACTTCTCCTCAGTCCAGGGGTCAGGATGTGTGTCCTTTGCTGCAGATCACCTCGTCCTCCGAGTCGTGGGGGCTTCTTGGGCTTGCTTCCTTTATTCTGATTTTTGTGCCGTGGTTATCGTTTTGTGTCCACAATTGTTGGCAACACAGGTAAAGGCGTGTGCATTTGTGTATGAGCATGCGCACGCATGTGTGACCACACGTGTGTTGTGTGTGGGCATGAGCGTGTGTGTGCGTGCACGCTGTGGTTGTGAGCGTATGTGTGCGTGTGAGTATGCTGTGGTTCTGAGTGTGTGTGCGAGTCCACTGTGGTTGTGAGCGTGTGTGAGCATGTGTGCAGGTGTGAGCATGCTATTGTGAGCCTGTGTGAGCATGTATGTGTGAGCGTTGTGTGAGCACGTGTGCATGTGTGAGCATGCTGTGGTTGTGAGCGTGTGAGCACGCTGTGGTTGTGAGCTTGTGTGTGAGCATGTGTGCAGGTGTGAGCGCACTGGTGGGTGCGTGCATGTGTGAGCGCTCTGTGGTTGTGAGCATGTGTGCGTGTGTGAGCGTGTGTGAGCATGTGAGCACGCTGTGGTTGTGAGCGTGTGTGTGAGCACGCTGTGGTTGTGAGCATGTGTGCATGTGTAAGCATGCTGTGGTTGTGAGCGTGTGTGAGCATGTGTGCATGTGTGAGCACGCTGTGGTTGTCAGCAAGTATGTGAGCATGTGTGCATGTGAGAGCACGCTGTGGTGAGCGTGCGTGTGAGCCTGTTTGCGTACATGTGTGTGCATTATGCTGTGTGGTGGGTTCCGTAGCACTTGTGTGCTTTGTCTCTGATGTGAGCTTACAGGAAAAAACTTGATTTCTGCCCAGTGCTGGGTGTCTTGTGGGGCAGGGCATCCACTCACACTTCGGTAGCCCTTTGTGATGTCCCAGGCCACACCTCGTTAAAGGAAGTGTTTGCCCGTTTCTAACGGCTGGCTCTCTGGAGTCCTGCCCACGGAGACAGGAGCAGTTGGGTGGGCTGTGGCCTGCGTCCTGAGTGTGAAGGCTGAAAGAGCAGGACAGGGCGTGGACGGGCGGTGTAAGGGCTTTACACCAGTGGTTGCTTGGCAATTACCTGTTGTCAGCATGTGCTTTTCCGCCCGTGCTTTTGAAGGTACGGCAACCTTGCGTGAGGGTGCTGGGCCATGGGGTGTTTTGCGTGTGTGTGCCCCAGGCTTCATGGGTCTCAAGGGCTGTCCCCTGCACTTCCTGCTGACTGTGGCATCGTCAGGGCGGCAGGTCATACATTTCCACTTGTGTCCTCAGCATCCTCTTCCCAGCAAGTGACGTCTTGGGGTGGATTCCAGGACTGGAGGGCTCTTGAATTGCAGCCCTCTGATGACAATGAACAGGCAATACTTGGACGTGAGAAAAGCTACTTAGCCTCACTCACAGAGAAATGCAAATTAAGACCCGGCTGAGATGCCATTTCTCACCGGCTCTAAGGCGGGTCCAGTGTTTCCCAGCCTCTTGGCACGGCTGCTGGGAAGAGAGCAAACGGTGGGGCTGTTGCCACACTGAGGTTGCCCTGGGCCTCAGCTCCTGGCTTCCGGGATGGGCGCCGAGAGAACTGCGAGATGAGGTGACAGACGACGAGGGAGATGAGCCCTCATGGCCCGTGCTGCTGCCGAGGTGGGGGCAACCCCTAGAGGCCTGTCGCCAGAGGGCCAGACAGAAGAGGCAGGCGAGCAAGACTGTGCGGTGGGCTGGCCCTTGTGAGAAAGGGGGACTGGAGAGTCACATGTCTGTTCACGCTCTCAGAGCAGAGTTCTGGAGAAACAAACATAAAGTAGTCACCTGTGAGGGTGGGGATGGCGGTGCTTCCCCCCTGGGCTCAGGTACTGGATTTACGTAAACGTCTTCCTTCCCTAAATGGAATATTAACAGAGAAGTAAGGCTAACACGCCGCAGGCCGTGGCACAACCAGAACCGTGTCTGGTGACTTGGGCGTGGTGGTATGTGGCTGCCGAGTGGATGCACCCAAAGGCAGGGCGGCGGGAGGACGTGAGGCAGCTCAACATCGTCCTGGTGTGATGTCGGGATCAGACTAGTAAGATGGCGTGTTACGTCATCAGGAGCGAAGATTTCTAGAAGAGAACAGGGGTGTGTGTCAGGGTCCCAGGACCACCCCCGCGTCGGTGCTTCACTGGAGGACACGCAGGACTTGGCTTGGAGCTGCCCCAATGGCTGCAATTCATTTCAGAGAAAGGACCCAGATCAGCACAGGGCAGAGGCGTGTGGGGCAAGGTCTGGGAGCAGCAGGCGCAGCTTCCAGAGTCTTCTCCGCATGGAGTCCTGCGGGTCGCACCCACTGCCCAGCCCAGGCTGCGGCCACGTGGGAAGCGTCATCAGGGAAGCTCCGTCGAGACCCGGCACCCAGGGTTTGTGTTGGGGCTGGTCATGGGGGCACCCCTGCTTGGCATGCTCCAGTCTCCAGAAGGAAAGAGGGTCCCGGCATAAACCACATTTTGGTACAGGCAGTCTGGGCACAGGGGGCCACTCTTATCAGTTCTGGAACCGTGAGAACCCTCCCGAAATCGTCCGGATGCCCACCGAGGGCCAGCCTTGGGAGCAGGCCTCTCGGAGGATAAGTGGTCAGGCTCGTGTGTAACTGTCTTCTGCCCAGGACACATGCTCGAAATAAAAGAAATTCCTTAATTCCCCGTGTTTGTTAAGTTGGTTTGGAGATAATGGTGTGAATTCACCCCTTTTTGGTTCTCCCCACTGAGAAGGCCTAGGAGAGGTGACAGCCGTGGCACCTGGCCTGTGATGTATAACTGCCCTTTCCCACAGGAGGGGTGGCTTCCTGGACCAGCATGTGAGATGGGGTGGGCTGAGCACCCGGTCTTCCCTGAAAGCAGGGAGGCCATCACAGACTGCCGGGCCCTTCACAGGGCAGACCCTGGTCGCGGGGCTCCCACTGGCCAGAGCTGGGACCACTTGAACCTCAAGTGTCTTGGCCAGAGTGGATGGAAACATCTCAGATACTGACAGAATCAGAAGTTTGCAGTGAAACTCTCCAAAACAAACACACTGACAAATCAGAGTATAGGATGAGGAAGTGGCAGAATACGTTGGTCCTGCCCCTTTTTCCTACAAGGGCCATGACGTTCACACTCGTGTTCACGAGGGCTCAGCACCATGGTGTGAGAGGCAGGCGGACCTCTTCCCCTCGCGGCCCCTAGCTGTGCTCACTGATAGAGTCCCATGTGGTGAGGCTCAGTCTCTGCGAGGGTCTCCAGCCACCCCAGGGCTCTGCAGGCCACAGGAGGACCCAGTTAGGGTCTCAGGGGCAGCAGCCCCAGTCACTGTTAGCAAGGACTCCAGGGACACTGGGCAGCCTGCTGCAGGCAAAGCCCCCATCATAGGGTGTGTGGACCCGGGAGTCCTGCGGGGAGCCTATCCTTGGAGGAGGGCCTTTCACATGCATGCGGACTCAGCCGACACAGCTTCTGCCTGCCCGCAAGTGCCCACGGCTGCCCCACACGTGTGCACAGCTGGTCCGTGTCCTGCCTCAAGGACCTGGGCCTGAGCCCTGTGTCCATGGTCTCTCACTGGTTTTAGGGACAGACCTTACATGTCCACCCCCTGCCCATGTCCTGGAGCCAGTGCACCAGCTCCTCACAGCCTCCTCTGACCATGCGCCCTGAGTCCGCAACTGCGTGTGTGTTTGAACGCCAGGCATCTGGCTCTTGGTGTTTACCTCTGTCCGCCCTGCACCCCACCCAGGTGCTTGGGCCATGTCTCCTTGGGCAGACACTGGAGTCGAGTGGCCAGATCCTGCACTGGGCTCCCCAGCACTAAGTGCCCAGATCGGGAGTGTCTATGGCCCTGTGTCCTGTGGACTTGTACCTCTGGCCAAGTGTGTTTCTCCTCCTGTGAACTGCCTGTTCTCATCCTGTGCTCTTTTTTATATGGGGTTTTGTTTTTGTGTTTCTTACTGATTTTTATATTGCATGTTTTATATACTAATTTTTTTTTTGTGCAAAAAATAAACATGGCCCCAGGTCTGTTCTCTGTTCTGGTCGGCGCCTGGCCTCAGTCCCTGCAGCCCTCAGCATGCTCTCTTGTCTGGTGAGGCATACCTTCCTCCTTTTCCTTTGTTCCCAAGAATGTCAGCTGTTCTTGCACAACTCTTTCTTCAGATGAATTTTAGAATAAGCCTTTCAGGTTGCCTGTGTGGTCCTTAGGATGTTGCATTTTATGACCGGTTTAGGGACAGTTGGTCTCCACGGTGCTGACTACAGCCTCCAGCAGGGAAGCGTCCCCAGCCCGAGGGTTCCTTTCCTGCCCTGCTTGATGCCTGCTGGCTGCCCTCGGAGCGGGGTGGGAGGGGAGCAGCAGGCATGTGGAGCAGCAAGCCTGCACAGGGTGTGCCTGGTGCCCCGTCACCCCTGGAGCCAGCAGGGCCAACTGCCCTGCTCAGGCTGGATCACACAGGAGGGCACCCCACGCTGCCCTGCCTCGCTAAGTCTAAAGATTAAAACCATAAAATCAGACCTAAGTGAAAAAGCACACCTGATTTATGTTTGGGAGCATTAGTATTTTAAAAATGATATCACTCTTCAGGTAATAAATTCATTGCAATACGAATAAAAATTTAGAAATTGTTTCCACAGATTTTGATTTTAAAATTTATATGTAAGTTACCCAAAATTGCCTGCAGTATTTTAAAAAATAAGAACAGGGGACAAACCCTATCATGCGTCAATTTTTTCAGACATCAGTATTGTATTGGTATAAGTTAAGTGGTTAGTCTAATAAATGGTACACTTACGTGGGACCAGTATAAAACAAATGAAACACTACGTCTGAGAGAAGATAATGGATTATTAATGAGTGGTGCTGAGATCGTGGATATCTATATGGAAAAAGAAAAAATGGATCCCTATCTAATAGCAGCCAAATACATTAATTCTGGTTAGTTAAAAGATCTAATTGTGAAAAGCAATTTTTAAGGAAAAGCTAATAAAATATAGAGGGACATTTTTATAACACTGGAGTAAGATTTCTTTTTTTTTTTTTAAAGATTTTATTTATTTTATTTTTCCCCCCAAAGCCCCAGTGGATAGTTGTATGTCGTAGCTGCACATCCTTCTAGTTGCTGTATGCGGGACTCGGCCTCAGGATGAACGGAGAAGTGGTGCCTCGATGCGCACCCGGGATCCGAACCCGGGCCACCAGCATCGCAGCGCGCGCACTTAACCACCAAGCCACAGGGCCGGCCCTGGAGTAAGATTTCTTAAATGTGACAAAAAATATACGTTGTGGAGGAAATGATTGATAAATTTAACTAACTTAAAATAAAAACCCTCTTTTCCTCAAAAAAATACATTGCTTTAAAATAACAAAAAGAGGGCCAGCCCCGTTGCTTAGCGGTTAAGTGTGCGCGCTCCGCTACTGGCAGCCCCGGTTCGGATCCCGGGCTCGCACCGACTCACCGCTTGTCCGGCCATGCTGAGGCCGAGTCCCACATACAGCAACTAGAAGGATGTGCAACTATGACATACAACTATCTACTGGGGCTTTGGGGGGGAGGAGGAGGATTGGCAATAGATGTTAGCTCAGGGCTGATCTTCCTCACACACAAAAAATAATATAAAATAACAAAAGGATATGGCACTGATAGGGAGTAAATATGCTCAAACTATGGAACTGGGAAAGGGAATAGAATCCCCTGTATACAGTGAGTTATGAAAATTAATAGAAAAAATGAAAAATGCATAAAGGCAACTAGCAGGACAAACTGAATAAACTATGAAAACATGCTCGACTTCATTATTTTGTAGATCACATATAGTTAGGTTGTGTTTTTGATCCACTCAGACTATCTCTGTCATTTATTCGGTGTGTTTAGACCATTGACGTTCAGAGTGATTATTTAAACAGCTGGGTTAATATCTACTGTATTTGTTACATTCAGAGCAATCGTTGATACAGTTGGATTAATCTCCACCATATTCGTTACCATCAGAGTGATTGTTGATACAGTTGAATTAATAGCCACCGTTTTCGTTAGGATCAGAGTGATCGTTGACACAGTTGGATTAATAGCCACCATATTCATTGCGATCAGAGCGATCGTTGATACAGTTGGATTAATAGCCACTATATTCATTACGATCATAGCGATTGTTGACACAGTTGGATTAATCTCCACCATATTCGTTACCATCAGAGTGATTGTTGATACAGTTGAATTAATAGCCACTGTTTTTGTTACGATCAGAACGATCGTTGATACAGTTGGATTAATAGCCACCATATTCGTTAGTTTTCTATTTGTCGCCCTTGTTCTTTGTTCTTGTTTTTTTGTGCGTGAGGAAGATCAGCCCTGAGCTAACATCCGTGCCAATCCTCCTCTTTTTGCTGAGGAAGACCGGTCCTGATCTAACATCTGTTGCCAATCCTCCTCCTTTTTTTTTTTTTCCCCCTTCTTTTTCCCCAAGCCCCAGTAGATAGTCGTATGTCGTAGCTGCACATCCTGCTAGTTGCTGTACGTGGGACGCGGCCTCATCATGGTGGTGCGTCGGTGCACGCCTGGGATCCGAACCCAGGCCGCCAGTAGCGGATCACGCGCACTTAACCACTAGGCCGTGGGGCTGCCCCTGTTCTTGTTTTTATCTTTATTTTTTCTATCCTTTGTAGTTTTAATTGATCACTTTATGCGATTCCATTTTCTCTCCTTTCTTAGCATGTTAGTTAAATTTTTTTTTTTACTTTTTATTCCCTAGAGTTTGCAGTATGCATTTACACCTAATCCAAGTCCCCTTCTAATAATACTGTACTGCTTCACAGGTAGTGTGAGCACCTGTAATAACAAAATAATCGTAATTCTTCCCTCCTGTCCCTTGCATCATGGCTGTTATTCATTTTACTAATACATAAGCGTATATGTGTGTATATACATATACTACGTACACAAGCATGCATATCAGATGCATTTTGCCGTTATTACTTTGAGCAGACTGTTATCTGTAAAATCAATTAAGAAAAATAGAAGTTGTAATTTTACCTTCTCTTATTCCTTCTCGGATGCCCTTCCATTCTTTATGCAGATCCGAGTTTCTGATCTGTATCATTGTCCTTCGCTCTGAAGAACTACTTTTACCATTTCTTGAAGGCAGGTCAGTCACTGAGGAACTCCCTCAACCTTTGTTTGTCTGAGAAAGTCTTTATTGCTCCTCCGCTTCTGGAGACTTTCACAGGG